CAGCTGTATCCCCAGGTGTGTCCCCACAGTCCCAGGCGTGTCCCAGGTGGGCTCACCTGGAGCAGGTGCTGCAGGAGGCGGAGCCAGCCCAGGCAGTGCTGCTGGAAGGCCTCGCTGGGGCTCTCGCTGACCAGCAGGGACAGCAGGCACAGCCCCTCGAAGCTGCAACGCCATTGGCTGAGCCGGGACACGCCCACCAACACGCCCGGACACGCCCCGCAGCCTGCACTGGCTGCTGGGGGTGACAAACCCCACCCACTTTCCTTATATGGGCAATCCAGGGCAGGGCATGGCTCTCACAAGGGATCTGATTGGTTAGAATGAAACCACGCCCACCCTAGGCCCTCCCACACCACTGATTGGCTGAGAGGCCCAAACCCCACCCACTTTCCTTATATAGTCAGCCCAGAGCAGGGTGTGGCTCTCAGGTGGAGTCTGATTGGCTGGGGTGAAGCCACGCCCATCCTGGCCCTGCCCACAGCCCTTATTGGGTCCTGACACCCAAACTCCACCCACTTTCCTTATAAGGGCATGCCACAGCACAGTAGGGCTTAATAATGGAATCTGATTGGTTCATATAAAGCCACACCCACTCTGCTGCCTCCCACACCATTGATTGGTTGCTGAGGACACCAAACCCCACCCACTTTCCTTATATAGTCAGCTCAGAGCAGGGTGTGGTGCACATGCGGATTCTGATTGGTCCAGATGAAGCCACACCCACCCTGGCCAGCCCACACCCCTGATTGGCTGTTGAGGCTCCAAACCCCACCCACTTTCCATATAAGGGCAACCCAGAGTAGGGCGTGGCTCACAGGTGGAGTCTTATTGGCTGGGGTGAAGCCACGCCCACCCCACACCCAGCAGCCAATCACAGACAAGCCCCACCCACCCAAATTAGCTGTGCAACAAAGAAATCACCTGATTGGCCACTCAAAACCCCACCCACAGTAAACCAGCCAATCACAGAGTCCTAAGAAGCCACACCCCCTCCTCCTGATTGGCTGCCCCGCCCCCAGGGCTAAACCCCTCCTGATTGGCTCATCCACCCCCAATGGCAGTTCAGACGATTCCCATTGGCCGCTGGGCTGGCCCCGCCCCCACCCTGCATTTCCATTGGTTTTCACTCCACCCCGCCCACCCCAGACCGGCAGCCAATCAGGAGGCGGGCGGGGCGGGCCCCGCGCTGCGATTGGCCGGCGGGGCTGTCACTCACCGCGTCTTCATGGAGCCGAGGCGGGCGCTGGTGACGCCGAGGAGACCCCCGAGGGCGGCCTGGGGGAGGGGCGGGGTCACGGCTCAGGTGGGAGTGGCCAAAGTCACGTGGGAGGAGGGGGAGGGGCCTGGACCCTCAGGGGAG